TCTCTCTCTCTCTCTCCAGAGCTTGAGCTCTCTGGTTGCCTCTAACCCCCCTCTTCTCTCTCTCTCTCTCTCTCTCTCTCTCTCTCTCTCTCTCTATCTATCTATCTATCTATCTATCTCTCTCTCTCTCTCCAGAGCTTGAGCTCTCTGGTTGCCTCTAACCACCCTTCTCTCTTTCTCTCTCTCCAGAGCTTGAGCTCGCTGGTCGCCTCTCTCTCTCTCTCTCTCTCTCTCTCTCTCTCTCTCTCTCTCTCTCTCTCTGTCTCTCTCTCCCTCTCTCTGCAGAGCTTGAGCTCCCTGGTTGCCTCTAACCCCCCTTCTCTCTCTCTCTCTCTCTCTCTCTCTCCAGAGTTTGAGCTTGAGCTTGAGCTCTCTGGTTGCCTCTAACCACCCTTCTCTCTCTTTCTCTCTCTCCAGAGCTTGAGCTTGCGCTTGAGCTCGCTGGTTGCCTCTAACCCCTCTTCTCTCTCTCTCTCTCTCTCTCTCTCTCTCTCTGTCTGTGTTTCTATGCGTCGTCTGTGGACGGGCTAGCGCCTGGCCTTCAGAAACGCTTGCCCGGTGATAGAACTCTCATCGTCGTCATCCCCGAGGTCAACCTGCACGCGGTTGTGACGAGCGGGGTTAGCACTTGAAGGGGCCGCAAGTCTTAGGGTTTGGCTAGTGGTTCTCCGATGCGTACAGTACAGTCTTCATCGGAACAAAACGCTCGGTCATTACCGCCGCATCTAGACGGAGAATTTCGCCAAATACAGCTATAAATAATGACCCGCCGTTCGATTCGTGTGAAGACGTTTTGGGGCCCTGGTTCCACCCCTGCTGATCTACCCCACCGTCGAATTCGTTCCTTCGATAATTTCTATTTTTTTGCGCTGTGCACTTGCTGGGACGTGGCACCCTTCGCACACGCTGGGCCCGCCCCCGTCCCGCACCCTTTCCCAACACAGGGCCTTTCCCAACACAGGGCGGAGTCTGGCGAGAGAGCGCCACGCAAAGAGAGAGACCCTCTCTTTTAGGGTAAAGTTAAAAATTCCCCGCGACAGAACCTTTGTATTTGTTTCACCCCCAACGGGCCAAAAAGTGCCGCAGGCCCCGAAATGACTTTTCGTCTAGGCTACAAGAGTGGGCCAGGACCACACACACGGATATATATACTTAAGCGCGGTGGGCCCGCAGGGGGGAGGTCGTGTTCCGCTGCACGCTGGAATCGGCCCGAAGTTTTGATTCGAGCCGACGGATGAAGGCGATCGAGGGAGGGGTGTTGTGCAGAGTGGCGCGCGTACCGAATTGTTCACAGC